TCATTATTGGCTTATAAGTTTAAAAACTTGTACCAAACTGATCTTTGGAAATAGACGAAGCGCAGCCACAAGTCCTTAACCGTTTATCCAATGGGTCAATATTATTTGAACTAAAGAAATTGACACTGTTCTGCTCAAGTCGAAGTAAGGTATTGCCGGCCAAGAATATGTGAAATCGATACTATAATTTTTGCAGTGATGTATTAACCCGGCAAATGGTTATGAGCCAGTGGGTGATGAAATAATATGAATTTCAATTCGGCAAGGACACGATGCTAAAGTACCATTAGTCGTGGTAATCAAAATCTGATTTAACATTGTAAGAAAAAAGAATGTATGTACCAAAACACATAACATCAAGTCACCTACACCAGCTTTATAATATATGCCATGCGAAAGTGGACCGAGCCGCATTTAACAGAAGGCTGAACTGAACCGATTTGGCACTCATTTGATTTCAACTTTGCCAGCCATGCATTTATCAGGTGCAAGACGTCGTGAAAATGCGATGAAAAACAACACTTTGTTGACGATTTCTACAAATTTATCCACAATTACCTCAATCTTGTTCTTGGCCGTCTAGACCTAGTGGTCTAAAATTGAATTAGTGGAAGCAAGATTACCTCCACCAGATAGAAAAGCACTTGCGTGCAATTCACGTTGGCGGACCTTAAACAGCTTAGATTACTTATACATGAATATGCCCTAGCGCCAGTCGATAGATCATCACAATGATTGTGACGCAAAATTAAACCTCTTCCATCATGTCGTTTAGTTTGTTACACGCATCTGTGACTCGACATTTCAGTTCAGGCGTCAGGGCTTTGGAAGGTAAGCTGCTCACACCCAACGCCGAGTAGACCAGTCAACCTCGTTAATGTCCTTTAGAAGACGCATTTGCCGAAGGAGTTGACATGGCCATAAATCACTCTTTGATTCGCCTATATAACTGCTGCAAGTGGACCTCGTCCAAACGAGTCGGCTGCTCGCAAACAGCAGTTTTGTGACTTTATGCAACGCATTCCTGGAAGTATGGGATCCATCACGAAACATCGCGAAAACACCCACCTACCTGGAGGGCAGTCAATGTCATCTCGGATCACACTTAATAGAATTGAACTAAATTTTGGGTCATCTGCTGAACATCATATTTAGATTTAAGTATGCTCAAAATCAGCTTTTCATTCGAAGCTGGGGTTGCCCCGTGCAGATTAATTAAATGAGTTGTCACCGTCTTTCACAGGTAGTTCTTATTACCATTTTCAGGACATGGAAACCATTTTGCACCAAGGCATAGAATTAGGTGACATCAACCAAGAAAAGTAAATACCGCAAACTCCGGAGTTCGTGACAAGGTTGCAGGGAAATTCTGATGTAGAATTGCGCACCACATCCAGCTTTCATGCTGAGACCGACTTTATGCTAAAAAACACTTTAGTAATTTACAAACATGTCAATAAGCTGTCCTATGTTGGTAGACCATCGAGTCCAAACACGAAACTTGCCGTGCACTTTATGCACCCGGAGGTGGTGATGTACATGTCGCTTTGGGCATATTTAAGCAAATATCGTTTCAATGAGGTGCATTTTTACATAAGAAAGTTTCCTGTATTCACACAGGATTGGAATCCTCCTAGAAGTAGTTTTCAAAGAAGCGAAGGCACCGCTGATACTTCCTTTCTTCGTAAGAAGTGTGCAGCTAAAATGCAAGTGCAAAGAGTAAATCAACCCAACTTTGTTGCAAGCGGCTCCGCGTGAGTTAATCCCTAGCAAACAGCAATTTGCATACCTTGTTGGTATTTGCGGTAACTGTACTTTTGAAGGCTATTTGAGGGAGATTGACTGGTTTAAGATTCGTATCCCGTTGCCATGTTAATGGTTTGTGTTTGTCAAGTCAATTGAAGGATTTGTATGCCCTGATAATATTTTGATTTCTTTTCTTGGAATATTAAGTTTGATGCATTACGCAATTGCCCTTCTCTTTTTTCAAACGGCTAACAGTAGAAGCAAACGACGTGTTACTCCAAGCTAATATTTATACACGAAAAAGAATTGTTTAATTAACTTAACCTATATTAAATTTTTCAAACACAAATGACAATCCGTTTTAATTTCGCAGTTCTGAATTTTTACCCAATATCGTGATAATTTTTTTTGAAAATTCACGAAACTAAACCCAAGAAAATTCATTAAAAATTGGCTAAATTGTTCATATCTGCGGTGGTAGATAATAGGATATAAGAGCTTAAATTGACTTAATCAAATTTATTTGGGAACAAAGTGAAAAGTTATTTACGGGGTTAAATTTTGCGGTCGAATAAGTTAAACGTTGCAATGTATGCATATTTTCATTTTGTTCATTTATTGGGTTGCATTTATTTGATATTCTTGATCAAGTGGGTAGCTAGATACAAATAATATTGACAGAGCAGTTGTTTAAATTATCGATTCTACAAAACTTTCAGGTTATTTTACAATATTAATTTCGAAAATATTATCAAAATATTTGGTGATTCTTACACCGGAATGACAGTGCTTTCATTATTATCTCTCTAGAGACGACTAAATAAACTATGCATGCTACACTTTCTTGGCGCAGATTAGTTTCTAACACGAAAATTTTAAAGCAGACTTGACAATGTGATATAAATTTAATGGCAACACTATTGTACTAAATTTATAGATATCAACAGTCTAAAGCTTAAAGTAAGAAGCCCAAGGCAGCTGCTGTGTATACTTGGAGAAGTATAAGAGCGCAGTCTTTTTTATCTAAAGCTATTTGGTTTTGTTTAACTTCATTGGTGGCCTAATCACCGCTTAATTCGAGAGCAAGTTCGGATGCATCCATATGGCCAGTTTTTCGGTGTGCCTCAGCAGTATTATGGTGCTATTCCTCCAACCTATCAATCTTTTTTACCAACTACTCTGGTAGGCTATGCACCAGTCGCTGTTCCGCCACCAACTCTTCCAGTCTCACAGACGACCACAACCCAGCCTTCAACCTCAGAGTCGTCGGTTACCCAAGTGGTAGTTACACAAGAGAAAACGCCAGTTACAACTGTTTTTGTGGGAAATATACCTGATCGAGCTCCTGATTCTCTCATTAAAACACTTCTTATGGTATTTTGGTTATTTATTAATTAGCCAGCGATGTGGCAATATTCTCAGCTGGAAGCGAGTTCAGGGCGCATCCGGCAAGTTGCAAGCCTTTGGATTTTGTGAGTATCAAGACCCTGAGTCCACAATGAGGTGTGTAAGGCTCTTAAACGGGTTTGAAATCGTGGATAAGAAATTGATGGTGGGTTCCTTGTTCGGGTCAAAATGACTTTCTAAAGGTAAAAGTCGACCCGAAAACGGAGGACTTGTTAAATGAATACAGAAAAAAGAAGCGTAAAGATGGAGCTGATGGTAATTTAGGTAGTACGGAGTCCGAGGTCGATGATGAAACGAAAAAAGACGATGACGTGGTTAAAACATCCTTACAAAATATTTTGCAAGAGGCTATCGATACGTTTCAGCTCGGCCACGGTAGCCTATATCTTGTAATAATTTTTGCTTTAGAATCACCAAATCGGCAGGAATACCTTGAGGGACCGAGGCATCTGGTTGGTTTTTTTTTACATTTTTACATCGTCTTGTCCTTTCCTGTTCCTGTTATTGTCATTTTTTCAGACTTTAGATGATATGGATATTGACGGCGAACGTAAGGATTTAATCAATAAAGAAATTGAGACGTTTCGGCGTCGTAATGAGGTAAGATCATAACAATATATCAGAGTCCCAAGCTGTCGTATGTTTATTTGGTTAACGTTCTCGTTATCATCGAACAAATAATGCTAATGTGACCAAGCGGCTTTTAACGGTAAGCCGTAATTTATGAGCTTCTATTTTGACGCTATTATAAAACTCAGACCTCAATCGGAGTTAATTCTAGGACTACGTATGACAGCAAATGTGGACAACTAGCTGAATGTTGGTGAGTATCTTTCGTACTCTTTAAGGGTAAACCGAGTTTAAGATAAAAAAAGGCTTACACATGAGCGAATTCAAACTTTTCAGCCCATCATGATTGCGGTCGAAACCAGCCGTTTACCATTTAATCACTGGGCTCGGTGAGTTTTAATTCAGTATTATTATCAGGCATCTTACCGTCGGAGTTCCATTAGGGGTTATTTGTTTTGTACAAAACCGAAGTGGTGTATCGGGAACGTGTCGTTGCGTTTTCATTTCGCCCTTTTGTGCTTGGTAGCCAATATTGCTTCTTTTATCAATGTTGTCAATAATCTTTGGGTGGAATAGAAGGAGACGCCTTCCGAGGAACGAGGCAAACGCGCAAAAGAACTTGACTACTATACCTCGAAGTATACTTCGCGCACTTTGGCTCGTGTCGACCGGGATTTGGAGCGGGGAAGTCGGTACTCACGGTCCAGATCTCGATCCCGCGAACCATCGAAAAAGCGACCACGAGGGGGTATTACCAGCTCAGCTTTAGTTTCTGAGAGGCATTATCGTTCAAGCCAAGTTGATGAAGAAGAAGAAGCCATCAAAAAGCGACTTGAAAGAAAACTTAAAGAAAAAGAGGAGTCTTATCAAAGTGTAAGTTTTCCACAGTAATTTCTCTGCAAAGTGCCACTTGTTTAGATTTGGTATGTTGGTTCGTCTCTAAATAAGTCAGCCGTGCCCCACACCAATTTTGAGTTATTGTGTTTACTATCTTGTTTTTTTTTCTAAGTGTCTGCTTTTCACTTTTTTAGCGTCTGCGCCAGTGGGAAAGTAGGGAGCGCAAAAAGCAAGCGGAATATGATCGAGAGAAAGAACGCGAGAAAAAAAAACAGGATGAAGTTCAAGCTGAAGCTCGTAGTCTGCTGGAATTTTTCGAGATGTATGATGATGACGTCGAAGATGCCAAGTTTTACAAGTACGATCACTGTTTCGCGTAATTTTAACTTACGGATTTCAGCAGCGCTCCAGCAATCTAATCTGCAGTCCAATATTTCATGTTTTCGTAATGGAGTAACTGGTCTAAATGATACTAAAAACGAATGCAGCCCGGTGCCTTGTCACAACGATTGGCTATCGTATGAGTTCATTTGTTGTAGGTTTCTATTGGGATCACTTTATTACCGAGAGTTGAGTTTATTGATCACGTCCCACTAAAACATTCATTTAACGCCAAATCTATCCTCTCAACTGCCAAAGTGGTACCGTGTTTTGCGCGTGTGGTACTGTAGTTCAACATGTAAATTATCCAACGTGATCTTATTAAGGGAAGTAACTTAACCTCCTTTTCATGTTTTGGTAATGGAACTCCTTGATTAGTTCGACACATAAGTGGCGAACCCATTTATTACGTGTTATATTATGTTTCTTTAAATATGAATTCCTATAAAGTAACTCGGGCAAAATAACCGAAAATGTCATGGTTTCCTCACTCCTAGTAATAAACACCGATTTATTTTTGTCGGGGGAAACGCATTTGTGTCGTTTGACGTTGTGAACCACGGCACAATTACCGTTTTTCACCTACCTCGATTTTTCTCTTAATAGGGGCAGCGCACTACAGCATCGTTTAGCGGATCGGGAGATTGAGGAAGCAGCCGACGAACGTGACCGCCAAAAGGAGCTTGAGCAATTTGAAGCAGCCCGTCGGAAACTCATCGATGAAGGAGATCCCAATGCTGAGTCCGTTATTCTGCAGATGGAACAGGCGATGCAAGAGCATCTTCGGAAGCGACTTAACCTTGATGCTCGTTCCCCTCACACGCAGCAATCGAAATCCGCCTCAAATTCCAAAGCTAGTTCCCCACAGGAGCAACCTACTGGTCTTGATGAGTCCACTGGGGTTTGTTTCGGAAGAAATATTCCATGACGTCATTGGGAATGATGTTATTCCGACGTTCGTAATTCGTTTTAGGACTCTGGTCCTACTGGATTTAAACCAGTTTCTCCTGATGTGGGTTCAAAAGGGGGTGAAAATGCAACACCTAATGAAGCTAGTGGCGATCTTCCGAGACGGGATTCTGGCACTTTCCTCTTCTCAATGGCTTCCAGTAAGCAAACTTTTATTAAATCGACTGGTGTAGCTTGCTTAAACATTTCAAATGTGCTACTAGCAGGGCACCGTTGTTATCTTTAATGTGTGCCAAATAGTTTCATTTCTGAGCTTTTGTGATTCACTTAAGCCAGCTATTTAGCTTGTAGTTCTTATCACCATACAGTTAACTCCTCATAAATTAATGTTGCATCTAATTCCTGGCCTTATCAACTTACACGAAGCTCAAATTTGGTCTTTTTTTTATCTAGAACAAAGTGAGAATGTGTTGAAGCCGGCTGCAGCATTCGCCGATGAAGAGATAGAGCAAAAGTCTAAACGCCCTGCCCTTAGTTGGGTTCCACCTTCATCCACAAACCAACCCCTTCCATCCTCCGCCACAACTACCATCCCTGATCTTAGGTCTGTAGCTAACCTGCCTGTAGCCGAAAAGAGGGCTATCATAAAGCAGATAATCGAGAGAATCCCGACCGCAAAGGATGAACTCTTTGCGTATCCGATTGACTGGAAAGCAGTCGACTTGGTAAGCCGCATAAGTGTAGGAAATGACAATTGTCGTTGATGACTGCAATTTACACATGACCATAACATCGACCTATTTTAAAGCAATAAGATGAAAAGATCGAGATTTGCAAGGCATTTTTTTAAAAGCACGACAAAACATGTTGGAGAAATATACTACCAGAATTTGCTAATTTTAATTTAAAAAGTCCGCCAATTTTGAATTTCTATTATAGATAATCAAGAAGATTGTTCACGCAAAAACGATTGGGCAATTTCCAAACTTGATTCCACAAAGATGCCTTAAAATGTTTGTCATGCTCAATAGTGAGACTGTCATTTAGCCTAGCCTCATAATGTCTTAATGTTCGTAGGCTTTTCTTGTAATTGATAACCCGTGGTCACTGTTAATTATGCGCCAAGTGCAACCTCAATCGTGTCCCTTATTAGAGAGTGCTATAATTGCACGGAAGCCAGTGGGTTTACTATCCAAGGATAGTTGTCATACCTGAATCGCTTGTGTAATTGTATCAGGTGCTTGTTTAGTCTTGCATCCCAGCACTTGTGATGACAGATGTTGGTTTTTGGAAATTCATTTTCAGTTTAACGTGGGGAGGAGGAGGAGGAGGAGAAGGAAGCCGTATTGACTAAATTAATTGGCCTTGTTGTTTCATTCGAGTTTTTTGACTTCAAAGGAAGTCTTTCTTGCTGATTATGCTCAGTACTAGAGATGCTGGTACTGCTGATAACGAGGTATGTGGACGTACTTGTAGTGGGTTTAATCACTTAGATTGTTGCAGGTATCACCGCGTGCTGGAAACCTAACGCCACGTACTTACCGTTAGTTTTATTGCATGCTACATTTGTGCTTGACTCATCTGCATTAATTCGAGCAGATGATCGCAAAGGCACGATTACGCCCAAATTTGATTCGGGGTAGGCTGTTGTGCAACTGCGTTTGTCATTATATTCCAAATGCATGCAGGCGTCGGAGTACGTCTTCATTGCTTGAGGAAGTCTTTCACATAGGTCACCAGCTCATTGAGTCGCCTGTGTGTTAAGCTCGAGTCTTGTTAGAACTAATTACTGTGTTGTGGAGTTTCTAGTGCTTTTGCACATAGGGCACATTATGCCCAACTGTAAAATATCGGTCAATTTCAGTGCAGGGTGCTAGTGTCTCATGCTGTATTTTTGTGGCATACCTGTTTTGCCAGTTAGCTACCAGTTAGGACAAGTGGGTCATTGCTAGAGACTGCAATTATGCACTGTACTTTCGTCAAGTTTCGGGAAGGAGTCATTCATCAGGAGGCGATTTAGTTTGCAATTTGGCATTGTAACATTGAATTAGACTTACCAATCTTGGTGGAATGTTATCGTTGTTACCGTGACCAGTTATTAGACAGCTCGAATTAACACGTATTTTCTGCTGGTACACGCTTTGTTGCATGCACCAGCGTTCTATTGCCGTTGTCTAATGTGGCTCAAGTACTCTTCACGTATCCAATGAAATTGGCAGATGATGCTGCAGTCGTCGTAGGCAGACGCGTTCGTCGCACCACTTACTTGCAATTTGTTATAAACAACCCTCTGTGGCTAGCTGCAATCATTCTACTTATTGCTTACGAGTGCGTTCCATGACCGTGGGCTCTGGTACTTCCAGGTTACAAAGTAGGCGATGCGTATTGACGAAATGGGTGGCATTTACTTCAGTCATAACTGGCTCAGTTAGTCGTGTAAATGAGGTGACAAAAAGACGTCTAGTATTTCTTAGTAACGGTGGTATTTGACATGTGCGGTGACTTTTTGGTAAAACGTTGGTTCTTATTCGAGGAAATCCAATGACGTAAGTATTTGATTATGTGTGCATATTGTTATGCACGACTGAGTCAGGAAGTCATGCATTGCACTGTTTTTTTCTATTCAAGTGCTGTTTAATCCATGGGAAGTGCATGTTGTTTCGACGGTAACATTCCTAGCGGCAAGATTGGCGAACCTTGAATGATATGGCTAATCGAAAGCTTCAAACCTCGTAGTGTCATGTCTTTTTGGAGTTGGTGCTTTTTATTTGGCGTAATGGCTTGGAGGTGCAACATGTAGCACCAGATGCTGCAGTTGGCTGAACTGGGCTCCAGTGTTAAATGTGCGTCGACGTTCACGCCACCAGTTTACCTGAAGAGAAGAACCGTGTTTAGGCTAATTTGCGTTGAACAGTTTACGTGGTTTGTTTTTTTTGCAAAACAACCACATTGTCAGTACTTTATGGACTTCCAGCAGAGATTGCATCTCTTTGTTCGAGTGTTAGATGGCCTTATTCTGGCTACTTGAGAGTCACTTTTCTTAGGTCTTTCCCAAACGTTGTGCTTTATTTGCGTGTTTGAATTTGGGAATTTGGCACAATTGATAATTTGGTGAAGTGCGTTTCCCTTGGAGCACAATTGTGCTAATTCCAGGGTATCGGTGGCTGCTTATAAGTGCGTATTCACTAGCCCACAGCAAACCGTCGAGGCTGCTCCTGATTGCTTACGTTTGTACTTAAGCTAATTATTTTATGCCCTCATTATTAGTACTTTTTAATGCTAAAGACGTATTTAAAGTGATCATTCAACATCAAAGGTGTACTCGCATTATAGGAATTCGTTAACAAACGAATCAAGCCGTGGGTGGACAAGAAAATCGTTGCCTACCTTGGAGAAGCGGAAGCCACTCTATCCAACTTTATTTGCGAACAAGTACTTGAGCACAAACCACCTGCGAAAATTCTCTCTGACATTGCCTTGGTAAGTAGCTAGTTTTGTGGTCTTTCCTTCGTGAGTAGCAGCAGGATGTTTCATGCGATACAAGAGTTCTTAGCTTCGAAGCGCAGGTGGCTATCAGGCAAGTATATCGGGTGGACCAATTGTGGCCACAGCTACGAATGGTTGTATCATTTTAGGCTAGGTCCTTAGGTTTTCATTCGGTAATGCAATGTCAATCATATTCGTACATGTGTTGCGATATTCAAGTCCGATTGGTCGGCTCCTGAGTGTGTGATGCCTTTCAGGTTCTCGAGGAGGAGGCAGAGGTTTTCGTGGTCAAAATGTGGCGTCTCCTAATATATGTAATAGCAGAGAAGAATCTTGGCCTTACAGTGTAATGTCCTTCATATGCCTTCGGCAGTTGGCACTTTGTACAAATAAAGCATTTCTTACCACGTAACGTCTTGATTTCCCTTGACTAACTTCTTTGCTTTTGTTGCTAAAACTTTCTTCCCAGTAGGTGGGTTGCTCTTTGTTGCTGACATTATATGACAGGACGACTTTGTTATCGTCAAACCGACGTTTCAGCAGGCATTAGTATGCATTATTTTTGTCCGCAGGAAGCTAAATTCTGACCGCTGCGCGTCAGATTTTCCATTTCAGTCCCCAAGTAGGCATAACCACAGTCCAGCGAATTCAGTTAGTTATGGGTCTTAGTGTGTATTTACGGACACAGCGACCCTAGACGTAGTTGATGTTGGTGCCCTGAAGTCCGCGCCGATGTTTCGGCCTTTTTGTGGCTAGGCGTTCAAACGCCTGGGTTCCTATCTGCTTAGTTGTAATCGAAGTGATGATTCACGGGATTTGGGTGGCATGAATGGGAGGTTCTCCCCAATAACGTGGAACCACAGTCGACCGTCTTTAAGCTCTGGAATGACATCGTACGTAACAAAGCTGGCCCACTTGTTTGCTAAGCCGCGCAAGGTGGTTCCTGTGATGGTTGCCACGCATCGGTACCCAGTAAATCAATCAGCTCCACTGGCTTGGTGAGCTGTTGTTAAGTGCAACCGTTGTCATGAATAACGCCCATAGAAATCGCGTGAATGCACAATGTTAGCCTTGGTGGGCAAATGTCGGTTGTATTCTATTCATTTTTGTCAATTCTACTTATTTTAGCGTTAGAATCGCCTGAGCCAAACAAGTTATTGCATGCGAATCCGCAGTGTTGCACGCATGATGAGGCCACTGCTGCATTCCATCAAGGAGCGCCTATTTAGCCGCTCGTCGTCTCCCACATACACCCATCTCTCCTCGAGCACTACTAATAACAGCGGCGGGTGCTCTCCTGATTGTGGCGCTGTCTGTACTAACCCTATAGGTGTGCGCCCATGTAGCTTCGCATTCGTCCGAGGTTTTCTAACTGGACACTTACCTCCACTTTGTTGCCTGCTTCTAGCTTGTTCCAGCATTGTGTTGCCTTTGGATCTGTGGATTCAAAAGTACGTGTTGACAACACTCCTTGCCCTCCTCCTCGTTGTAGCCCTAACCAATCTTGTCGAAAGTGTCTTTGTATTCGCCCCAAATATCCCCGACCGAAGCCGATTTCTCACAGAGCTCCCGCATCCAGATCTATTCCCAACATGGCGTCTCGTTCGACTTTGGGCGCCTTCCATAGGAGGTACACGCGGAGTCTCTTTAAAGTCCTTCCTCATCCTACAGGAGAACCCAGTTAAACGCGCCACAGCTCCAACAATCTTATTTCTCCACGGAAATGCCGGCAACATCGGACACCGCTTGCCATTCGCGAAGATTCTTTACGATGTTTGCTCTGCAAATGTTCTTCTACTAGAATACCGAGGGTTTGGTTACTCTAATGGGAGCCCAAATGAATCTGGCATGTATGCTGACGCAGTGGCAGCTCTAAACTATTTGATCTCAGGAGCTGATGGCGACATTGACGGACGAAACGTATTCCTCTTCGGACGTTCGCTCGGTGGCGCTGTTGCCATAGAACTGGGCACGCAACCGGCATTAGGCGCTCGCATTAGAGGCACAATTGTGGAGAACACGTTCACCTCCATTTCTGATATGGGCGAAGTAATAGCGTCAAATATTTTTGGCCCCCTGACAAAGCATTGCTTTCCCTCATGGATTGTCACGAATCGTTTCGAGTCCTTGACTAAGTTGAAATGCCGAAACATAGACGACGGTGGAAAGTTCATTTTCCTTTCAGGTTCTAAAGATGAAATTATTCCACCTACTATGATGACGCGACTTGCCGCTGCGTGGGCAGCAAGTACCAAGAAGTCCGAGCACGCCACTTGGATTTACGACAGCCCTAAAGCGTTTATCGGGTGCGGACAGGAAGGACTTGTCAGGTTTGCCAACGGAGGACACGGAACCACGTGGACTTGTGAGGGCTACTGCGAAGTTATACGCCGTTTCATCGCACTACACTCACAAACACACACCAGTGCAACAAGCTAACCCGATTCTGCCAATTGAACGCAATGTACCATTAAATCGACTTGCGAAATGCTGGCAATTGCCCCTAGCTTACTTGTATAGAAATGGACGGCAGTTGGCACTACTCCACGCCTTATTGCATTCGCAACTGGCGCGCCCCTAGAGCTAATGACTGAGACTGTAGAGATCGGCGAAACCACTTTGGGTTAGGGTTAGGCCAACAGAAGCGTGAGCCAGAACCCACAGTCACATCGCATTCCCAAGCACAAGACGTAAGGAGTAACAGGAAATGAGTCTAATCCATACAACAATCGATGCAACAAAATTTGGTATCATTATCGAGATTGGTAAGGCAGGCTCCGTCGCCGTGGTCGGGAGTGTTCAGCAATCCGAAGTTTGTGCGCCTTGCAGCACGTGTGAGGACTGCAAAAACGACCGCCTGAAATTAAAACGTATAGAAAAGTCAGTTAACTGGACACATGAAGGTGCCGCGTTCATCGGTGAGATAACTTACCAGTAAACTGACGAGAGAGCTTGGCCCGCAGAATACTATGTCGGAGTATGGATTTCTAGAAGTAATTAGCAGGTGTTAAGATACATCAGATCATATAGACTCATCAAGCTACAGGCGGTAACTCCAAGTGTCATCACAGAAATTCGGAAACACAACGTCCACTCACCAGCAATTAGAATCATGCGCGCTGGGGGATTCGTGCCACCAATGATCATAGGTAAAAAGACAGACCATTGCAAACGACGCAGACGAAAGTTGCCTAGTCGTTAAGCAAGCCCACCAAGCGCAACAGTAGAAACCAACACCACCACACGGGAAAAAGCTCACACGAGAGCACCGGCAACACCCGTCCAGAACGGCATGACCTGAGCATCAATCTGCACTAAAGGTCGGAGAGGGTGCGATTAAACAATTCAGTCAACTAGAAAATTAAAATTGAAAACTCAAATCTACATAGCTTATCCTTTAGTGCTACAATGAAAATATTTTTAGTTGATACAGGTCATCATTGAATTGACATGATTTAATCTTAAGCGAAATACTAGTCGACGACAATGACCACAGAGGCTTGGATAACCAGGGTTGATAATGTCAATGTGTACTTTGTTGAACCCGGACATTTTTGTGATTTCGACATTGAAGGAAGCAAGTTTTGGTTGTTTCTTTCAGTGGATGTAATTTGTTCGAAGTACCTGTTTGTGTTTCCCTCAAACTGCCTTATTGTCCTCCTGGTCGCTCTCAAGAACTTCATTTAACTTTACGTTTTGTTATAGTCTCCTAACTGTTCCTAGTATACTTGCTCCCATAGGGTCAAAATGACGTGGCTCTACCTAGAGGACTTTTTAATTCACAGCAGACTGATTTTATTAAATAAATCTCAAAATTTCGGAGTTAGTTTTAAGTCAAGGTGGAGTCAGCACAAGAAGCTACTCAACATGAATGGAAAACGGCAAATTACACGGACTTGTAGGATAGATCGCTCTGCTAGTTGTTAATTAGAAGTGTATCTGTGTGTTACTCAATGTTATTAGTTTACCTAGCCAGGTCCTCCTCATTTTGTCACAGGAAATACTGATATTTTAGGTTTCAACACAGAAGAACACGATTCCCTGTTCTAGCAATGACTTATGGTAATCTCTAGCTACGCATGTGCCACAAATTTTATTTGTACAGTCGTCCAACCTCCTATAGGCATCATACACACCATGTGAGAAGACCAAAATATTAATTGAACCCAACTCCATAATTCCACCAGCGAAATGTTAATATCACCCTTGGGTATTATCTGATGGGTAATTTACGCAAAGAATTCATAGAATTTTACATTTAACATAATTGTTTGCGAACGATTTAATGGAACAAACCCAGGCAGTGCACTTGAACATCATTAACCCACGTTTGGTCATTTTTAAACACTAACACAACCAATGGCTCATTCTATACACACGGCAATTTAGTCATAACAAAACAGCCATCATTCTAAGACAGACCCGAAAATATTTAAAAAGTGACCTTGTGATAAAATTCGGCAATAAATGCTTCCTATCACAGATTTTTACTGTGGCTTGTCAACTCAACAATTTGGTTTTGTAAGTACATGATCAATGTTCCAGTAAAGAGTTATTTCGCCTGCTTGTTTTCCCACATTTAGTATTCAATTTGCGGTTATTTTATTTCATCAAACTTCAAACTACGAAAAATTTGAAATCCAATTAATTGAGTAACCTAAGTTACTCCAATTTTGTAGGAGGTACAATGTGCATTTACGCGACTTGCTTGATTCTTCTTACTTAATTGAGGATTCTACCGAAATACTGATCGGTTGGCAATCGACCTCTTAAGCTCATTTCTAAACTTTCGACAAATAAGCACCTAATTATTAACGAAACAAAATCTATCGCCTTGGTGGATGCTCATGCTCTACTAGATCAAGATGTTGAGCACTTCATAGTTCACGAGGTCCAATTTGTGGACATCTAGGCTCCATTTACACAAATGATAGCCCCTACGTCAACAGCCACCCTGTCAGGCATCTCAGTGCACCACATGGCACCCTCATATGGGTGATGAGCTCACACTACGAAATGTTCTTTCCTTTTACGCCTCTCAATGGGTCTGTATTCTCGCCGCAGATAAAGAAATCCCTGACTAATTATCTATCCTTTTTTTCTGATGCGTCAAAATAAAGTATATTTGTTTACCGGACTTACCCCAGCTTCTATGATACTTGGTTGTGAACTGCAGATTCGCCTGAACTCAAAATTAACCTTCTCCCAACCGATTCGACTAGCTTTGAGACTAGCACTCGCGTGGCCTAGCTTATAGACTCCCACTCCGAAAAATATGTCAGCCCATGTGAGCCCATGAAACAAAATGTAAAAGGGAGACACCACTCCCCAGTGCACGTGTCAGCAATTCCACAAGATTTTGAGTGTCTCTTTTGGATAAATTAATGTCTTCCTTTAGTGTCTACCGCAGCATACCAATACCATATCCACACTCCCTTTCCTGTTCGTGCACTCTGAACGGTACGAAAGGAGACATGAATGGTGCGCTTCTAAAACTTCAAAGAATCCATTATCTCTATTTAGAAAATCCGCATGATCATGTCAACAATTAGTCAGTAATGAAAAAAATACCAGCAAGACAAAGCTTGCACCAAGACAGTGCATCTTGAGAAAGGGGACATTGTCTTGACGCTATTCCGCACCTGGCTCATTCTGGTGTCAGTTCAATTTCTCATGAAATTTGTTAGGCCCGCTCTAGTAATCCAAAATGACTCCTGCCTGTAGACACAAATGTTGCTTGTCTGTCTTGTCTGAACATGCGATTAATAAATGGTGGATTCCAATAATTACGAGGATATTTCTCTCGGCTTCTAATCCCTCCTAACCACCTATCGGTAATGGCATCCATTGAGTATGTTGAGAGACTTTAAAGACAAAAGGCATTTTTTCATCTTATAAGATTCTTGTTCCTTACAGTTACTTGTTCACAATATTTTTTTCTAGATTTTCTAGTGCTTACACTTGATCACACAACCTTGACGTTGTGGTGGAAACTGCGTGCGATGTATTCAAACCCATAAAATGATTAGTAGTGAGGATGATGTAATGAAGAAGGTCATCGGTGAGTTGTTCTACAATTCATGCTTAGGAAACAATTGGAAAATGTTAGTCATAAATATGTTATCGAAGGTCTCCCTGAAAACCTCGTCTTTATGCACTTCTATTTTACCAAAAACATTTTCGTTAGTATTAGTTTGTATACAGCCATCTTACAGCGAATACCCAATTTATATGCTATTAGCAAACTGCTACCTATTATTTGCTCGGCAATATTGATCCATTTTTAGTTTAATTTAGGATTCGAGTTGCTGTTCTCGATCAACACGGCTGTTTTGTAAAGCTGCATGTCATAGTATTTATTTTCTCCTCCAGAAACGAATGCACAATACACTGCCTAAAATAGATTCCACCTATTGTGTTTGTACTATAGTTAATCAAGAAAATTGTTCACGCAAAAACGATTGGGCAATTTCCAAACTTGATTCCACAAAGATGCCTTAAAATGTTTGTCATGCTCAATAG